TGCCCAAGGCAAGGTCTATTCAAATAGGTCAAGAAGGCTCGGGCAAAAAGCGGTTCAGAAGCTATTGCCAGCGACATCAGCATCGGGAGTTACGGGACCTGCGATTGAAGCGCGATTATGTGTGGAGGGAACAAACATTAATAGTGAGAAAAACCAAGTTTGTAAATGTCGAAGCAATCAATAGGATTTACAAATAGGATTTCGTTTCCCCAGCAATAATAAGTAGGTGTAATGAACAAAGATTACATGGCGGCTTTTACTGTGAAAAATCTTTTTAGCGCCCTCTGGCCCCGCTAATATTACTTAGGGCAGCACTTGCACTACATGAGTATACATGACAAGGCCCACTCGTGAAATTCCTCTGCGAAGACACACCTTTTCACGTGTTTTATTGTTCTGCACTTCCTTGTTTTCTCTGTTGGGCGCGAAGTTGATAGGTGCAACTTAGAAGTGTGGCAGCTTGGGCTAGTTGGTATGGCATGACGATAGTTATAGCGCGAGAACAAAACGACGACACAGAGACAAGAAGGACACGAAAAACACGAGCTTCTTGTCTCTGTGTCGTCGTTTTGTTCTCGCGCTATAACTATCGTCGTTGTTAGGTGCGTTTTATTTTTGGTGAAGGTCTTCAGCGCAGTGTCCAACGGGAAGCAGAATGATACGAATTAAATTTAACACCGAGTGCTTTCGCTGGTGGCTGCGGAAACGATGTGCTGTGCAAGGTTGCAGTAGCAACAAACCTATGCCTGGTAACCCATGTCTTCTAGATAAGAAACAAAGACAATGGCTCAGAATGCACTGCTAGCTGGACTTCCATCAATGAGTATTCCTACATCTCGGTTTCCTTTCGAGCATGCAGTGCCTACTACTCGCGTTATTGGTGAGCAAATTGCCAAGTTACTTATGACGGTACAAGTCGCATGTCTTCATTCGCATCCGTAGCTGTAATTTACTGGAGCGTAATGCGAAAAGAGAAAAAAACATAACACAGGGAGTGTGCGCGGATTGTTTTCGTTATTACCATTTCGTGCCGTGTAAAGAGATTTAGTTATTGTGATCATTAAATAAAACGAAAATGTCATCAATTTGGCGTGACTAGGTGTCATGTATTCCTATTAAAACAGAAGATCACATGCATTATGCACATAAAGAACATGTGTATGTGTGAAACACATACACAGGTATGTAGATATCACACGCATACGCTGCTATGCTGTTGGTTGCCTTAATTCATCGGCGAAAGATGCCACTAACGGCGAATGAAAGTTCCAAGAATAGTTTAACTGTAAAAACGAGGCGAAGTGAACGGTAGTACATTATTTAAACATCACTACTTGATCATGAGTCCGTATTTGATTAGCTGGCGTTGACTTGAAGTGCACTCATGGAGGACTGACTGGTGATTGCCTCAGCGCGAGCCCTTAGCGAACTGGGGCCCATGAAAGGTAATTTGAGATCAAATTTCGCGCTAGTGCACACAAAATGACGTCACTTGTTTACCGGCTATTGCGTCACAACCGCTTTATTTTTTGTTCCGCTGAAAGTGATCCTTCCTCACAGAGATGGCGCTAAGCCCCATGAGCAGCTGATCAGCCGCCATTTTCTGAACGTATGGGCTTTTATGGAGCCTTTGCTACCAGTCTATATATACCTTGCCCAAGGGACGGCTTGCAGCTCTCCCATAGTAGAGTACTAAGTACTCTATATCATTAACTACTTTTAGGGGTGAATTTGCTTAAGCCATAGGTCGTGCGACTGCGATGTATGTAGTAGTAGTAGTTGTCGTAGTAGTAGTAGTGGGTAGCCACCTCTCGTTTAATCTTTGGAATGTTCGCTGGATGGCGGTACTTATATATGATTTATGTATGATTAAAAGATGCGAGATGGTGGTACTTGGAGTGTTCAGTCGATAGACGTAAAGATGGACGGATAGATGAACGGACGGACGGACAGATGCTTGGATGGACACACGGACAGACACACGAACGCACGGATGGGTGCAGAGACGCACAGATGGACGGACGCACGGACGGCGTACGTGCGTCCGTTTTGTAACTTACCTTAATTTACCATAATTTACGTAACCCACCTTTCGTGACATACTTTACCGCAACAATGAACTATGGCCAGCATAGGATCAAGCATGGAAATAATCAGGGTTATGCGCAAACGCTAGGAACCTGGCCGACAAGACTTTGCTCAAGGAGCGTTTATACGGGGCCTAGTCGGTGAGAAATTATTTTGGGAAAGAAGAGCAAGCACATTCTTAGTAGGACGAATGTGTCAGGGCTAGCGATGAATAAAAATGAATCTTGGACGCCTCATGAATACCCGTAGATAGACATTGTCCACGTAGGTCCATCACAGAAGGAACAGCGAATCCCTTCTAAAAAGAGCTTGACTTTCTTGCGTAACAACCGTAGTGGTGTAGCGCGCTTTCATCTCAAGGTTATCATTGCTACAGCGCATGCGCAATGTTCCTGGAGGTGGCGTTTTGTTATGTCAGTAAACATACTGCTTTAGTCATGTCTTTATTATTATTTTTTTACACCGGCATCTCGTTCACAGCGCCGTTCAAGCGTTTAGGTTCCCAAAATAACTCCGCAGAAGTGGGTCACCCGCCATCGTGAAGGAAGGAAAAAACTTAGAAGAGACCCTGACGTCACTCGTTGTGAAGCCGTGGTGAAGCCGGAAGTCGGCCATATTGACTTGGCAAACTCTCCTCTCTTGTTTTCATTCGAATGTAAAACAGAAGGCACGACTCTCTCTCCGGCTCGGAAAGCACGTGGGCTGCGCAGCGCATGTGTCCTCACGATGCGAAACTAATAGAACGGGGCTCAACACTTTGCGCCAGCGCGACACGTTCGGCGAAATCATTTCGTCCGAGTATTGACAGCGAGTAACAGCTCGCCGACAACGAAGCAAGTACAAGAGAACGCGTGCTAGATGCACTGAGAATGGCAAGCGTTTTCACGACATTAATTCAGCAACTGTCCAGACAGCACAATCAGTCGTGTGCCTTCTACGGTTGCATTCCGCCACGCGGCCGACACAGCGTCCAGCCACTGCGCCCGTGTTCCACGTGAAACTCACCGGCGTCAGCATTCTACGACCATTGTGACTTTGAGCACGGTGCAAGCGACACTTGAACGTGGTTTCTCTAACGTTTTTTGAGATTACAGTGCTGGGGGCGAGTATAACAAGCGGAACAGACAAGGTGTTTTAATACGCACATGCAAGTTGTTAGTGTACACACACCAAAACACGAAACTACGTATGTGCGCATGGTCCTCATTGCGTCTTGCTGGGCTCAACAGTTTCATCCGGTGTCATAAGCAGGAGCACTGCCCAACTGTCACTGACCTGCAAGGCGTTTATCGTCGTTCCGCTTCGTCATGGTGCCCAACGCAATTTCGCTGAACACTTTAATTGCTTCATCTGCGTCATCCGCCACACGACAGATGGATATGCGCTCGTTCTACGCACTGTTGAGGCCCCGTGATTGACAAAAGGTTTTGTAAACGTTGCTGGGAGTACAGCAACCGCTAGGAGAACACTGCGTAACAAATAACGTGGCGCAGAGCACGGATATTCCGCCACGGCTCAGCACGATACCAACAACGCCGCCAGCAACGACGCCATAGCAACGCCGATAGCAATGCCGCCATTGCACCCTGTGAATATGGCCACCATAATGTCATTTCCTCCACACTTTTCCCGTGTAGCGCCGGTTGGGCATGCCCTCTCCTATCTTTCCTTCCTCCGTGCCCGCCATTGAGGTTTACAAGTTACGGTACTCGAATGCGAACCCGAAAGTCGTGTGGTTGAATTGTGAATCCGAAAGTCATGTGGTTGAAATGCAGTGACCGCATTTCGACGGACACAAAATGGTAGAGGCAGATTTAGGCGCACGTTGATGGACACCTCATGGTCGAAAATGTCACACCTCCACCCCACTTGCGGCGTCCCTCACAATCATATGGCGGTTTTAGGACGTAAAACCATACCATTTTATTACCGTGCACTGTTAGAAGTTCATTCTGATCCTTATACTTACGAGGTCTCCTATAACAACATGGTGGGTGTGGCACGTAAAAAATTGGCCCTGTATCTGCATGTTACACTGCAAATGTCGTCGAAAAACGATAGTCTTGCGTCTGGAGAGAGTGAACAAAACGTTAATTTGATGTTCCGCGCAAGAAAATCGGTGAATGCTGTTCCGGAGGTGCTGCGTTAGGGTGCCTCGAGCGTGCAGTGGAGGCGAACGAGCGCATCAAGTCATGTCACACGTGAGACATGAGTGTTATATGGCAGTTATCTTGAAAAAACGAAGCGTGCGCGCCCTGCGCGCCCGTCTTGGAGGAGATAAGGGGCAGAACGCAAGGATCTGGGTAGGTGCCACCACCATGTCGTCCCATGAAAGCGCTGGAAACACTTGCCTCTTCGTGGGAGCGTTGCCTGGTCAGCGCAACGTGATAAATGCTACGGTCCTTATAATTACTTATGTATGCTTTTTTCTCGTAAGAGACACACATACAAAATATTGACGTGTTGTTATGGTGCCTCAGGTATGCGCAATAATTGCTTTTTATTTGACAATCACAGAAGTATGAACGCTGAATCTTGAGCAATATTAGTGGGTGCTGTGGATGGGGTCGGCAGTTTGGGGTATCGTTTGGCCACTTTGGTGCCGTTTAGGGTACCGTTAAAGGCGGACAAACAGACAAATGTACAGACAGTCAGTCAGTCAGTCAGACAGACAGACAGACAGACAGACAGACAGACAGACAGACAGACAGACAGACAGACAGAAGACAGACAGACAGACAGACAGACAGACAGACGAAGATTTTTCCGTCGAAGGTCCTCAAGAAAGACTATCGTCTTCAAAACTTGACAATTATTATTGTTATTACAAGTTTGTCCGGATTTCCAACTTTTAGTGAGATGTGTGATCCTTTTCATCACTCACGAACTTCCGCTTTTTGGCGTTTACTCAGGCTACACACTCGGCAGCCCGCTGAAAGACACGGCCGACTGTTCGGTATCTGTACTCGATGGCTGTGGGAGGGCCTTCATACCGTACGCTGAAACTACGAGAATGGCCGAGACCGAACAGGAGCTGAAGGATCAGTGCACGTGAGTATGATCTTTTTATGAGTTGCCGTGAAAGTAAAAACAAACTATCCATATCGATTGAAATGAATGATGGTATTGTTAGTCTACCAGGAGAGGCCGAAAAACGCATGGTGACCTTGACGCAAAACTTCGAGCTAAGAGAAAATCTTTAGAAAGTCTGTTCTTGAGAAAGTATTGGCACACCTATATATGCGTTGTTGAGCACTGATAGTACGGCTGCTGCTTCTTTCTTCAAATTCCACACATGTCTGTGAGGCTGAGAATTCAGTGTCCTTTACATCAGATGTGTCTTTCATCGTCTCTCAGGAGATCACCCAGTTCCAACTCGTATGCATTCCCATCGTAAAAGTATTACAGTAAGTTTGAACAGCGTGCCTGGACACGGAACGAGAACAAAGGTGCACACAAATACACAGCACTGAAATGAATCTGAAAAAAAAATCAGATTCTACTCAAATGTTTTTCAATATGAGAGAACTAACTTTGCACTCACTCTCTAAGGCCCTTACGTGGACAGTAGAGTGAAACGGATAGCTTAGACTGATATATTAGAGGCTGAAAATGCTAGCATCGTTAATTTCATCATTCTAAGTAAATGCCACAAGTCTCACTCCGGGCCGTGCATGCCCCCTCCCCCCGTACTTTTTTCACCATGAATACACAGCGTAAAATGAGCATTTGCCTGCTCGACCCCCCCCCCCCCCCTTAAACCAACGATGCGCCCCCCCCAAAAAAAAAACTCTGCATTCAAGCTTGGCATGACTAATTTCACACGGCGATGTTCCTCATAATCAGCCAAAGGGTTTGCACACGCACAGATAATAATTCTTTTGTCACAGGTTACACTTCAAGCAGCTGCACTGTACCCGCAATTTTACGACAATGTGCGCCGAGGGTCTGCCTCAGGTGGCTGCCGTGTTGGCATTGGACGCCGCGGACGAAAACATCGAGGCCGTCTGCACGCCGGGCACTGAGCTACACACGAGTGAGTAGAGCAATCAGCCTGCTATTGACAGTACCTGTAATCACTAGCAATTGGCAATTAAACTGAATAAACTTAATGTAGAGCAAAGTCTAATATTTGGAGACATATGTACGTGGCACCATCTCTCGGTGGCCGCAACGGCAACCAGTAATAAGTGAACTGGAAATATACGAAAAGTATCATGTGTGACGAAAAGGTTACCAAAGCGACTCCCTAGTATATGCAGCGGAAACGCCCCTGAAGCGTTCCGGTAAAATTGGAGCTTCACACGACAAAGTGTGTCGCTTCCAGGACAATTGAACACCACCCATCAGAAACACGTGTGGCCCGATTGTTAAATATTATTTACACTCCCTGGTAAGTCACGTGGTTTACAGTACGACAATGTTAATTTACCGGAGTGTTCCAGAGGGCCTCTGCTATATAGAACCGGGAGTTGTTTCTGGTAACAAGTTTTCTTTTTCGTAAGATATGATTTTTTTCGCCGATTTCACCTTCAGTAACTGCAGACCACCGCGGTCGCTGATGAGAGAGGGCACTGTGTGCACATATCTCTAAATACTGTTTATGGAGTCAGATATAGGCATGCGCAGGGTTGCACTTTAGCGGGGGGGGGGGGGGGGGGGTGCGATGGTCCGTCACAGTGGCCCCTTCCCTAATATGTCAGTGTATGGGACTGATACTGCGTCCCTCCCTCGAGTCGCATCACCCCCCTCCCCTCCATACTGTATAACGTATGAAGATGACTTTGCACACGTCCTATCAGATGACTAGGCAGGTGGGCGACCCCCTTCACCCCCCCCCCCCGTGCGCTCGCTGATGAGGTCAGATGTGACGGGAAACCACGAGAGCATTTTTACTGCGTCAGTTGCCACGAGTTAAAAAAAAAAGGCAAATTTTGATAGTGTAGAGTTAATGGGGGATGGTTAGTTCCTGTGCTGTGAACTTTGTGGACGATGATGTGTCGTTGGAAATGCACGTGAAATCTTTGTGCTTCGGCGGTTGTAGTGTGTTCGGAGAGAATTGAATTTCATAGGCTATTGTATAAGAGATGAATAATAGATGGAATTCAGCGGTACAGCTGACGGAGTCTCAGTCCGTTGCAACAAAAAAGGGCACTGAAACATTTTTGCCAAGTAATCGCAGAATGACTTCATTAAAAGAGTTTATAACCACATGATTCATTATTATAGAGCCTCAAAAATGTCCACAATCAGTCAAGTGTACCGAATTGGTGTTATCCGAATTGGTTGCGTTCTTTCAGTGCTTTGTCTCTCCTTTCATATCATCAAGCGCACTGAAAGCTACGGGAGGAGAGAAATATAGAAAGGGAGCAAGTAGATGCACCCGTTCCTCAGCACGGGTCATGTTCTTGAAAATGTTCTTCTCATTTTTGCTCTTCAAGCGCGCGGCCGGGTGCTCAGATTTGGGCACACGTTAAAGAACCCCAGGTGGTAGAAATTCCCGGAGCCCTCCACTATGGCGTCTCTCATAATCATATAATGGTTTTGGGACGTTAAACCCCACATATCAATCAATCAATCAATCAATCAATCAATCAATCTTCGAGCGCGCGGCTTACTCTCAACGTGATCGTGAGTGCGCGAGTGGGCACGTGGCGGCGTGCCGCGGCGATTGTGGTAACTATGCAGCTCATAATATGGAGTTCACCTAATAGCCCAGGACTATCGATTTATGGCGCGGTTATTCCGGGTTTATGACATCATTCGTGGAGAGAAGAGTGAGCTGTTTCTAGCTGACCTTGAGGATTCACTACGAATTGCATGTCGCGCGCCGCGGCTATATATGGCTCACATTTTCTCGACAGCTTCGACTACCAGGCGGCAGCGTTTTCTGACCTTGCTAAAAATGTCGGCATAGTGCCCTTGAGGCTGCAGAATGAATTTGCTTGCTTTGACCAATGCTGATAAATTGTAGCGTTGGCATGCTTCGAGATTCAACAACTAAAAAAATTTAAAGTGGATTGAAAGCTCATATTCGCACTTCAATGTAGATAAGTGACTCGGCGCTGGAAGAAGGTATATGAAATATACTTTTAGGTTCCACCTTATAATGTTGATATAACCTTAAAGAAAAGTAAGCAGATTGTATCTAATCACCAATGAGAAGTTATAAAACCTACAAGAAAGCTTCACCAAGTTTTAATATGAAGCCTGGCAGAAAGAGTGACACAAAATTTGACAAGACATCATCACCTAGTTGAACATAAATTTGAAAAGGAGATTAGCAGAGCGTTGATAAAGTTCAGCGAATTAGCAGGAAGCTCAACAACAGGTGAGCAGATCAACAGAAGGCCTGAGCTTTCGCCTCCACATTTTTTAGAAAGTCCGGAGCAAGAATCGGCAAATCTTCTATTTTAAATGCACAGTCACCTTATTTGGTACCCTGTTTCTGCACTTCGCTCTGTTTATGCAGCCTCAAGTCGGTGGCCTTGCGAAGCGAATCGAGAATATCTAACTTGCACCTAAAATGGTAGGTGGTCGTCCCACGGGAAATTTGTGACTACACTTTATCCTATTAGTAATATAATATCTGACATTTTACGTCTCAAAGCTACTATATGATTCTGAAAGTTATCATATAGTGCTTGGCTCTGGAAATTTCGACCCATCTCATGTTTTTTAACGTGCACGAACATCGGACGGTACTCGGGCATCTGCCATTTCAATTCCATCGAAATGTGACTGACGCAGCTTGACACAAACGCGTGACTTTCGGCTCAGCCGCCGAGCACCCTAGCCATTGTTCTACACTTCTTATACGCACCACTCTAATAATTTAGAACACACACACATAGCAGTGCGTGTGACAGCAGAGTGGTAAACCAAGACTGTAGTGCTGTCATGCGATAGGACGCGCACGTATTGTTGACGCGATATTTATGTTTAGGTGAAGTGAGTTTGGAGGCAGCCGCAACGAATCTTGAATAATGCACTGGGACCCTGCGCACCGTCACTAAGCAAATTGTTGCTGAACTCCGAGAACTTCATACGGGGAACAACATAACAAGTCTCTCCTATGTATCTGCGAGTTATTTTTTTCTCTTAAAAACGTGCGCTCAGCCCTAAACTTGACAGGCGCCAACTGCAAAGTGCTTTTTAGCATAGATGAGTAGATGAAGGCACGTGTTTATGAGGAGTGGGTTTATAAAACTGCATTCCTAAAGAAATAAACAGTTGTTAGTGAGCACCTGTCCAGTCTGTGTGTTCATATATAATCCGGCGAGGTCATGTTTCTGGCGCAAAGTTTGATAGGAGACAAAACATGGATGAACTAGCCAAACAGCGCGTACAACTATAGATTAATTAACCTTGACCGCTTCACGGCTCGGTCATCGCAACTTCACGGAAAGTGCAAACGACAAGCAAAACCGTCAGACCAAGTAAGCAAGATATGAACAGTTTACTAGATTTACATAAAAAAAGATTTGCTTCCTTCTGCATTTATTAAAATCCAGGGTGGTAACTGGATCTAATTTGCGGAGTCTCATTACACTCGCCGAAACAGGAGAGACTTTAAAAACACCCTAGCTCTGTTCTGCACGTTGCAGAGCTGCACTATTCCCACCCATTCTTTTGTAACGAGGCGAGTAATCGCGTCACTGACACGTTGCTTATGCAAAAGTTTGGAGACAAAGCCAGGAATAAGCTCTTGCCTCCAGCTTTGTTAGCGCCGCCAACGACTCAAATTGCGGCTGTTGTCCAATGTTGGTAAGTGGGAGCTTTCCGTGGGAGAGTGAGCATTTAGCCGAGAGCCACCTTTCGCACTTTGTAGGGTCAGTCAGATGCTCGTGAAATTGTATAGTTACTTAAGCATAGACAAAAGAGAATCTGCAGCACATTTGGCGGGGGCTCAATTAGCCTACAATTCTCTGAAAACGACAGACCGCTGGATGAAATGTATCATTTGTCTGCAGAACACATGCATGAAAGGTGCTTGTGTGACACAATGCAAATGGAGCAAGCATAATCAAAGTATAGTGCCATTCTTTTGTCAAGGCGATAACAGAGTCAAAGTGTGGGTACGGGCTGGTTGGTATTCCATGATAAAAGTGAGACAGAGCTCGTCTTTGTTGGTCTCTTTCTCCCGTGCCCCCCATTGCACTGTGATTCCTTTTGATAACGCAGAGGAACGCGGGCGTGTCTTGCAACAGCCGAGCGAAGAACAGTGCTCGCGCAATTGATCACCTTGACCTGCTTCCCGCATTCGGATGTGAGCGCTTCTATATACGCTGCGGTTACTTTTGCATCGTAGTTCCGCAACAACTTATGAACAGGTTGGACGTACCTGCGCTGCGTACGAACGTGAAATGTAATTGCGTGTGTAAGTGCAGCTACGTATACTTGGGAACTCCCACAATTGTAGTTTCTTTTTTGAACTTACATAGTTTTTATAGTTAATTTTTCGTACCGCTTGATATAGGGGATTTTCAAAATGCCGTTTAATTATCGCTGGTGAAGACATTACGCATGAATCTTAGCTGTGCAGCACAATTATGGTTCCCTTGATGTAAATCGCTGGGAGACAGACGGTAGAAGGCAGGACAGCCTTACAAAAAAAGTCTTTTTGTGAAAATTGACGTATTTGATAATTCCTGTGTACGGCATGTCAATGCATGTATGTATGTATGTATGTATGTATGTATGTATGTATGTATGTATGTATGTATGTATGTATGTATGTATGTATGTATGTATGTATGTATGTATGTATGTATGTATGTATGTATGTATGTATGTATGTATGTATGTATGTATGTATGTATGTATGTATGTATGTATGTATGTATGTATGTATGTATGTATGTATGTATGTATGTATGTATGTATGTATGTATGTATGTATTGTATGTATGTATGTATGTACCTGCGTCTTTCTCTGTCATTGTATTATAGACATCGTATAGTAGAAAGCTAAGCCAAAAGTTTAGGTTCACTTGTCGTACAAGTGGGCAGTCCAACGACATGTTGCCCAGGCGCGGGAAAGCCCCCATGAAATTACCTACGTTTCTTGCCGCCTGTTTTCTTGCGCAGTGTACAAAAGCACAATTCCTTGCATCAACAAAGTGGGCGTCCAAATGAACGACTGCATGCGCAACTTGGTCATCAACTTGAACACGGTTGTCGCCCGGGCACCAATTGAAACCCAGGTTGCCTATGGTTGCTGGTAAGGTCTACGCTGTTTCTGTCTCTGTCTACTCACTTCTGGCATTCGTATATATTTTTTTGCTTGAAACACTGTTTTTCTTTCACTGTACGTACTTATCAAACCCTTAAGGTAGGTCACAACCTTTGAAAACCCGTTTTTTCTAAAAAAATGTGTTATTTTTGCATTTTACGTTTTTGTACTTGATGTCTATTCAGAAATATGTAGAGAGAAGATTAGTAAAATTTTCTCGAGCCATTCGAAAGTTATGATCATTTTTTATCGCCCCTTGTATGCACTGGAAGCTTAAACGGAATGTTTCTGATTCCATAATGTCTGCCAAGTTATCATGAACGTTTTTTTTTTTGTTACGTACTTACGTAGTACGTAACATATTACGTAGTTATATGTTGTTTGAGTACATACTAAAGCTTGTGAGACATCATGGTGTCGATTAAATTTAAAAATGCCTACCATACACCTATGGCAGTCTTAAGATACACGCGTTTTATATCGCCTATCTCTGCTTTTTAGTACACTACCACCACCCTTTGAAATTAGTTCTTGTCTTTAAAAAAAGAAAGTTGTAGTACTCCATGAAATATGGCAAAGTATAGATAAAAAATAAGTTTTAGTGGGAGTTAAAAAGGAATATATCAAGCGCGAACCTGCTGTGACACACGTGGATCAGCGTCAGCTGGAGACGCAAAACGAGCTAGAACAAAAAATATTTGCTTCAACTCACTTGAAAAGATGAATTGCCGCTTCAAAATATGTTCTAAGTTGTAATCCTGGTGAATTTCAGACATACTGACCATCAATTTATTATATGACCATTCTATTGAATTCTTTAAATTCATTTTTTTTCAAGAGATAATTTCTTTGCATTCTACATTTACGCGAACAGTGATAATTCCATTTCGAATGAATGTTTACATATGAATTTTTCCACTATCTTTTTATATATACAACGGTGAATTCAAGCAGAACTATAGAAACATAGTGGTAACTTTCTGTACTGTGCTTCATTGCGTGCAAAACAAACCTGTCAAATATAACCTTTTCCATTGTTTTTGTAGTAAAGCGCCATAGCCTAGACATGTGGTAATCGTGCATGGAGGTTAGTTGCCCAGGGCATTGTTCTCACGACGAGCCTGGCTAGTTCAGTTTGAATCGCGCAAAATATTTTCTAGTCATGACTGCTGGCGCAACAAACACACTTTCTTATAACGTTATCTTTATACATTTTTTACATTTGAGCAGTTTCATCATTATAAACTATAAATTCGCCTAATCTCAGCAAGTGGAAGCTATGAATAGAACTTCTGGACGGAAATGTAAGAATGTTTTGGTTTCCATCACGACACCACATAAGAGGGGAGATGACAACATACAACACGAAGGCAAGTCATGAAATCAATGCGAAATAAATAGAAATGTGTATTGTGGCAGAAATGTCGTGAGGCCGTTCTGATGCAGCCCTTTGTAGAATAATAGTGAAGTAAAATACACATAACACAGCGTTGAACACAAAGCTAAAGGAAAGTGTGAAAGTGTAAGGACTGTTACACATGGTCGGTTTTTCTTGAGAGAGTTACCTACACTTGGTTAGTAGCTTACAAGGGGCGTGCTTGAGTATAACAAAATAAAAATCGGTGGCAGGTTGTGGTTGAAATTTAGTCGATGTTCATATGATTATAAAAAACGTTTCAAAACCAAACACAACAACATCTCTGATCACATGTAAAACCACGTTTAAAGGGCCCCTAAAGAAACTACGGAAATGTGAACAATGAGCGCATCATTCTCTCCTGCCAATTTCGCATTTTTTTTCCTTCACAATTCGTGACGTCAGCAGTCCGCTCACTTGACATTGTGAGAAAACAAGCTCTCTATTGGTCCATACATACGAGCGGTGACACCGCGCTTTGTCGCATGCCCGTCCTGCCCGGCTCGCGTGAGTATCGTGAGCGACTAATTGATTTCACTTCGTTTCGTCCGTTTTCGACTGCGCAAACGTGTAGCGGAAAGGCGCGGAATCCTGATAGACTAACCGGTTGGTGCTCACATTGTCCACGCGAATAATGAAGAACCAGGTGGCGAGGACGAGTTAGCGCCTTTAGAAGGAGTACTATAGGCGAGTAAAATATTAATCTTATCTTGGGTATTACGGACCAAAACCACGATATGATATTGAGCCATACCGTAGTGGAGGACTCCGTAAATGTAGACCACCTTGTGTTCTTTAATGTTCACTGACGTGTCGAGGGGCCCCTCTAGGATTCTGTCTCCGTCGAAATGCGGTCGCCACGTACCATACGAGAGCGAACCCTTGATCTTCCGTTCACCGGCCGAGCTCCGTAACCGCACACGAGAAAGAAATCACTCTCTCATCTTTCAAGTCAGAGTGGTTTAGGAGCCCTTAATCATGAGAGTGCATATAAAATAGCCTTCGTCAAACATTTTACATTTGAAACTGGACTAGCAGCCGGATTAAAGACTGAGGGAGTTGTTTATGGTTGTATTTCAAGCAGCGCCAAAAGGCCGGGTAAAATGCCACTTGACATCGACAGTGCTGCGGTCTTCTTTGCCTCGCGCTTCCGCGTTTGCGCTGCTTTCAGCATGAACGAGTGGTAGCGTCACGAATGCATCGCGAAGTGGTTTTTTTAATGTATAAAATTCCCAAGCGACTCTTCATACCGAATAAGCTACCGAAAAAGATCCTTATTTCCTCATCAAGAACCCGATTCTGTCGTTAAATGAAGAGGTTGTTGATGATTCTCCTATACCCCTCTAGAAGTGGTGGTGGCAAGAAGTGTGTCCTTGTTGAAAATCTATCTCAAGGCTTACTTTAGGCTCCGCCTTTCACGAACCTTTGAGTCCTGGCCAGACCATTTCACGCAGGAGAGAGGCGACTTACGATGAGAACGTAAACCCACGCTCAGAAGCAATCCGTATCACAACACTCCAAGAAAGGAAAATGCGTGTTTGGGGAGTCTTTCGTCTACAAAACATTGATCGCCATTTATATATCCCGCGTGCTTTACTTCCGTCATTGCTGCACACCAGTTACTTCCTGGTCACTAACCACTTTCGGCTATCAGCGGGCAATTAAAGTAGCCAGTGGACAGCTTTCCAGAAAGAAATCAGAAGCAAAGCCAGAATATTGTAGTTTTTGTGAGGTAAGAATACGTCCATAAAACTTCATTTTAGCTTGTAGGATAATACTTCATTTTAGCTTGTAGGATACAAGTGAAATGAACGAAAGAATTACTGAATGAATAATTTACTAAGCGAATGAACGAATCAATCATTGGATTATCTGATCTTCCATTATTTTATATAATAATGAGAAGTAACAGACAATCATGACAAAAAATGAAAAGGGCATCTTATTAGTAGTAAGTGCAACGTAAATATAAAGCAAAAAAAGTGGATGACAAGATAACTTGCTGGGGGCGAGAACCGAACCTGCGACCTTCCTATAACGTTTCAAATGCTTTATCAACTGAGCTACCACAGCAGTCATCTACCGGTTCATTTCATGGGGAACATGCGCATATAATAGTGCGAGCGTCTCTCAGTGCCTCTACTACCCTAAAAAAGCTAGTGCGGAACAGTCTTTTTATGCCTCTTGTCGTCACGTTTGCCCCGCCGCGGTGGTCTAGTGGCTAAGTTACTCGGCTGCTGACCCGCAGGTCACGGGTTCAAATCCCGGCTGCAGCGGCTGCATTTCCGATGGAGGCGGAAATGTTGCACACCCATGTGGTCAGATTTGGGTGCACGTTGAAGGACCCCAGGTGGTCGAAATTTTCAGAGCCCTCCACGTACTACGGTGTCTCTCATAATCATATGGTGGTTTTGGGGCGTTACATCCCACATATCAATCAATCAATCTTGATGGTACGTAGCCTACGGCAAGTTCTCTTTTCGTCTAATTTTCTTGCCATTTACATCATATTTACTACTAATAACATCCCTCATACTTTCCTTGGCATTATTGTCTGTTGGTTATTATTAATATCGTGTCTAACAAAAGAATAAAAGCCCTTAAAATTTCCACTTTTCATCATCCATAGGTTTCAGGAAATTCGGAGGCCTTGATAAAAAAAAGACGTCGATAATATTGTTTTCTTAAACGAATTTCTCTCTTCTTTTTATCATTGTGTACCGTGCAGTTACTACTACGATCTGCTTGGATGCTACGACGAGGCGCTGACCGTGTGCAAAGGCACGGACGCCAACAGGCTCGCCGCCATCTTGGCTGAGAACGTGTTCGGCCAGACGCTGGGTCTCGTGTGCGGAGTGTACACGAGAGAATCGCCGGCGTGCCAGACGCTCGAGCCGCTCAAGAAGCTCGACGTGTCCGAGCTGGACACGGAAAACTTCGTCCTGCCCCTGGTCACCATCGCCGGCACGCTCAAATATTCTAAGGTTGTGCCTAGGCACCTGTGGTCGCAGAGTTTCCTACAAATAAACAAGAGTAAACTCTGGCCCTAGTATCTACGGAACCTGCAATGCACGGCACTTCAGCCAGCAGGAAAATGACGGGTAGCACGCGGTTTGTTTGCTTGTTTGTTGGCTGCCAACTGTGGCACATGCCCACTTTAGGGAATTGTACAGGAAAACTTGTAGTAGCCTATATATGATAACTACACAATGATTGTCATCCAATTACTGAAATGTACACAGGAAGAAAAAAAGGAAAGTTACAAATTATCTTTTAAAAATAACTGAAATAAGAGTAATAAAATACAAGTGAATCAATGAATGGAGTGCACAATAATTCCTAATCTTCGTTCTTTAAGCTCCGTTTGGCTTCTCGGGGCCTTAATTTACCTTACCACAAGACGAAGTCAAGCAGAACTTCAATAGTTACACCTCATGACCTTGGCCTTTTTAGGCTCACTGCTTCAGATCGGCTGATGAAGGTCGCAAGCGCCCATTCTTTTATCGGAAGCAATATTAAAGCGCACCAATAAATAAAGTGACCACAGCACTCGAAGCCCACAAGCCCGAAGGCTAGGCAAATCTGTGTACTATAACCCATTATCCCCATGGTGGCTGAACTTTCGCAACGCCAGAGTTGCCTCTAGTTAATTTTGGGAAACTTTATGCCCGTGATGACGTTGGAGATTCAAGGTTCACTGCATCCTTCAAGCGATAACGCCTAGAGACTGAATGAAAGATACCAGCAACTGAGCGCAAAATACCATTGACATTAGGAAGTGCACGTGTCAACTTCACAGGCTCAGTTTTTTTTTTATTTACCAGTTCACGCTACAGTGGCTATATAGGCACAAGATAAGCAGTCAAAGAAGTTTTTCTTTCAGTAAATGTAGCGCAGAATAACAGAATTTTGAGATATAGTACGAAGTACAATCGCCATTTTATTGCATTATAGAGCGCTTCGCATAAAACGAGCAGTTTTTCTTCGGCAGATTCAGGGGCGAAGCTCCTTATGCTCTGAGCCTGTCCTTCCTCTGTGATTGGTTCGTAACCAACTTTACAAACTGCCCACTACTTCGTTCTTGCAAACATCTCACTGCGCCCTATCACCGATTCGCCACTTCACCGATCAAAAGGCACCTTTGAAAACAAGAACAAGAAGAAAAAATAAAAGTTGATTTGTATAATATAAGCAAAGTCTTATGGCTTTCTAATGATGTAATGGTATGACTTTTCACGGTAGAGTTACAGTTTACCGATTCAATTATCATCATTTCCGTGAATATGGCGTGATTTTTCCCCAAATGACAGATGTAAAACTTGCTGAACTAGAACTGCCAAAAGTCCACTTCGCTCTAACTAGTCCATAGAGGGTTGTTTCTGACTTGGAACGTCTCTGCGCTGGCGTTTATCTGGCGCAACATTCAAAAAAAATTACACTCGACACTAGCGGTCAGACATCTCGTATGTGCCAATCGTTGAGGAAATTTCGCAATGCATGTTTTATGGGGATCCCAAATGCATGCAGGGATAACTGCCGCGTAAGTCACCACGAGAGCCTTTCATTTGTCTCTTCGTGCTGTGGCGAGCGAGCTCGACTAAAGGCTGAAGCGGTGCGCTTTGGATGACAGCCAAGGACAATTACCACCCTTTCAACGTGAAATCGCTTAAGATATGCCTCATCGTCCCTATATTAACGTCCTCTCTTCGACGGCAACTCTAACTTACTTGATGAACACCCACGTGCTCTTTTAGCAAGATGCGCTATTCTTTCAGTGTTAGTGATAGCGTTGTGGTGCCGATAGCGTTGCTTGTTACATGTGAGACGGATATTGGCTATCGCAGTGAAGATTGGAGGAGGAAAAAAATTGGACAATTTATAAAGATATTACTAAAACGAACGTTTTCGGGTGTTGGCTGTGTGCGAAAATGTTTGAAGGAGAAAGAAGTATATATATTTGTGTTGATATTTAGAAAAATCTGACGCACGTAGGCATACGCGTGTTTAAGGTCTGTTTAATGACTGCTCTCGCAATTTCTGGTATATTACAGTTACCATCAACACTTTAGAGGCCACAGCCTTGTGAGTAGGCTGTCGGGTTTTCAAAGGATTCAGGCATTTGAAACATTTTGTTTGGTCTTGCTTCTCGGGGTATCCTGCTACCAAGTGCTCCTAGTGGCAAGGCAGAGACAAAAAAAGAAAGAAAAACAAGTGACCAATTTAGACGCGTGCACTCGTCAAGGTTGTGACTTTCATAGCTCAAGGCGTAGGTTGATAGCTGGTGTAAGGACCACACCTGTCCGAAGGCTTCGAGGATTCGCTTCCTTGATCCTCAAAAAGGTGGCGCAGTAGAGTGATGGATGAATTGATATATAATGAATGAGCCTCGTGGAATCAATCATGGAATACAAGTGAACAGGGCTTGTTGCTTAATCGGTTGGCTAATATCTAAGGGGAAAAAAAAGAAGTAACGCACAAGGAGGATTGGGATGAAGTGAAGACATGAACTGAGAGACACGACCGTCAACTTCAAACTGTTTGATGACAGAAACCACGGAAATTTACTCAGGTTGTCATCAAGGTAGCGTTTGCAGATGTAGAGTTTAAATTGTGAGCTACCTGTTTTGCTCTACAAAGGTTGACGCGTATTCATGCAAGCTGGTACGTTTTTGCAACTCGATTTAGTGCAGTTTCTGGAACATATGCCCTAATTCTGTTTGAGGGGATCATGATGATGTGCTTGTTTTGCTGTGGGACTTATTTTAGTTGCAAGATTATTTTGTAGATGGTCTATGTAAATCTATGTGGTTTCTACAAGCTGCAAAAGTAGATTGCTGTGCTCACAAGCGCTTCATACAGGTGGCACGGTAATGACCATGAGGTTGTCCGTACAGAAAATGTTTCACATGTACCACGCTTGTTTCAGTAAAACTTTCAGCTGGGCAAGTTGGTTTATATTTAAAGGCGAAATGGTGGGCGCAATTAAAGACAAGGACACAGAAAAAAATAGGACAGGGACAAGCGCAAAGTTTCAACTGAATTTCAATATTCATCCTCCTTCAAATACACACTCACGAAAGAACATATAGGCAAGTGGTCACATGCATGGTCAATACCAAATAGCTTAAAAAAGCCACGCAGAAAATCACGCTAAAATGAAGTTGAAAAAAATATCCGTACAAATTATTACATTTTCCATATGGGCGTGCTGGGAGGTTTTATATGTTATATGCGCAATTAATACAACACTCTGAAACAGCCTCTGCCATAGCACCTATGCTTAACCCATACATGCCCAGTGTCCTACATGTAGGATGCTAAAAATTTTCAGTGTAGCCCGAATGTTTATTCTGTAAAAAAGGGTAACGCCATTTAAGGTGTGTTTATGATGCCTTGTCCTCATCATATGCAAGTCTAGGTGATCGCGGGGCTACAATTAGCAACGTGCTTGCAGTCGCAAAATGGCTATTTCGCATGCATGTAGCTGAACGCCATACCGCGAAAAAAGGAGTAATATAGAGTCAAATTATTCTCGATGCTGCTGATATATTTTAATTGTTCGTCAGTTATTGGGTGGGCAGTAACTTCATGTGACAATG